GTCGACTGATTCTAAGTCCCCTTCGACTTGTAATTAATCGTGCAAATCCTTAACATACCAGCTCTGTATATAATCAGGCGTATGTAATTTGAGGGTACTGATGAAGCCACGATAATAGCCCTTATGGGAACAATATCACAACTATAAGCCGGGCGGTGCCCAGTGTTCCCCTCCTACACATAACCTGATACGCGCATCTATCCATTCTTTGTCATCCGATTGATAGTCGACCTTGAACTTGGACGCAATCTCGCTCAAAGTGGTGGTGATCTCGTCTACCTGAGTCTGAAGTATTTTAGATTTGATGTAATTTATAGCCCAATAGATACACCTTAAATTGTGACTATAACAGAGTGCACTAGACGCCGTAGGCTACACAGGTAGACAACTCGGCGGTAAACACCCGAGGTCTAAGTGCGAAGATCAGTCAGACATAAACAAAGTGATACCGATTTCATACCTTCAAGTGCGCAGTCTGTAGTGTGGCGTGTGCGGCCGTGAATCCTGATAGCTCTGAGTTCGTGTGTTGGTATTCAGCGTTCTCCAGCAGAGCCTCGCACTGATTCATCGTGTCTTCGCAGGAAGGAATATCCATCACCTACACACACGGATATAAATTTAGAAACATACCTCACGTACGGATATAAGTTTAGAAACATACCTACACACACAGATATAAATTTAGATACACACATAGAAACTCCAAATATGAGGTGGTTCAATCTGGAGCGGTGTTTCGAACTCAAACTGGAGGCATGTTACTATGGAGATTGTGGAAAACAATTACGCCACAATATGTGTTTATAATCTGTATTAGGAAGTTTCTAAGAGGGCCTTCATTTACAAAGCAGATACTGAACCAAGTCGCCAAGACTGAGTTAGAAAGATACAGTTGCATATAGGAACGTATAAGTGACAGACGAGCACCTGGGATGAGCAAGGGTTAGTCGATATAATTATTTTTGGACAAGCGATGAACCTAACGTAAGTTCAAGACTAAACAATTCATATATGGAAGTACCACTGTTTATACACCAACTATAGAACAGTATCTGGACGAGTGGCGAGCCTATTATAGCATTGCTCTATTGTGTGCCTGCAGATTAGGACGTGCACTACCTACACACAAAAGCAGTGACAAGTGCGTAGTTGGGTTTGAGGTTTTAGGGTTTTCCGTAAAGAGAAACTACCCTACAGCAGTTGGGGGTGCCTACCGAATAGGCAGTAAACTATAAGTGAACGAGCCTAAAACAGATAACCGTTTGCAGAACGAATTCGCTTTGTCTGAAAGGCAGAGGTGTTTGTCGCGTACAGACAACGACGCATGCAAGACTAAAGTGAAGGCAAGTAGGAATACACTAACACACTAGCACACGTATCTGCGTATCAACCCAGACATGTATGCACATAAATGATCGACAAAGCGCCACAGATATAAGAGATGTCCGGGAAGATTCACTATGCTAAAGTAGGTAACACAACCAACTTACACTCACACGTTTGGACACAGTGCGTAATTACACCAATCGGAAAGTCGACTCTACACCAGCCTACCATAGCCCACAGGCGTAAATGTGAACGTTAACACACTATGTACACTCACAGGCCTAAACAAAGTGCGGAATCGCACTATCATGAACCAGTCACAAACGCGCCATGTTTTCCTTTTATAACCTGCCAGCAACTCAATACCTGGACTGTCACTCGACCCATCCGACTCCGGGCTTTCCCGAAGCTGCAGTTAAAATATACAGGGTGAAGGACATATTAAGGCTCGAAGGGCCAAATTCGGTACGTCTACCCTTAATTGTATTGCAGATAGAGCTGGGAGTGAACGTATGTCTGAGCAGTTCTTCTGATTATTGCAACGAGATAGCTATTTCTAAAGGAGACACTACGTAAAAGAATATGTGTGACCATACGAGAATAGCCAGCAGAATACTGAAATACTATATATATAATATATATATATATATATATATATATATATATATATATATATATATATATATATATATATATATATATATATATATATATATATATATATATATATATATATATATATATATATATATATATAT